CCATCCATCCATCCATCCATCCATCCATCCATCCATCCATCCATCCATCCCCTATCCGGCAGCGGCATCATTTCCATGACAACACCCGGCGGAGAGAGCCCGGCTCCGGCGGCCGCCCCCCGCCCGGGGCACGGCTCGGTCGGACAGAAGCGGCATCCCGGGCGCACACACCGGGAGGCGAAAGTTGTCCCCCGCTCGCCGAGCTCCGAGCGCGGCGCCGCAACTTTCCCCGCCCGCCCCGTACGTACTCGGCTGCTGTGGGGGTTCCGTCTTTACATCCAGGCGCCCGCTCCCTCTCAGGCGCTGTCCAGCGGCCGTGGGGCACGGCGGGGTTGCCGGGCGGCTGCGGCTCCGCACCGCGCGCTCCCCGCGGGCATGGGAAGGGCCCTCCGGAGCCCCGCGAGCCGCTGCCGGGCGGGCGCCACGCTTCGTCCCCGCGGCGGCTGCGAGCGCCCCGCGGTGCGCGTGCGGCGGTGCCGGGAGAGAGGACGGCGGCGGCTGCTCCGCGCTGCTCTCCGCTGCCTCGCTCGGAACGTCATTTATGTGAGAGCGGCCCTAGCGGCCTCTCCATAGAGCGGCTGGAATGCGAAACGTCAATAGTGACGCCATGGGAGCCTGACGCTACTGACCCCCCCCCCTTCGCCGCACGGTGCGCGCCGCGCGCCCGTCGCTGAGTGCCGAGCGGTGCCGAGCCGCGCTGAGTGCTGAGTGCCGAACCGTGCCGAACCGTCTCGAACCGTGCCGAACCGAACCGAGCCCCGCGGCGCGCTGCAGGCGGCCGCACCGCAGTGGGAAGGGCTCGGAGCCGGCTGCATCGGGAGCCGCTCTGAGGCTGATTAAATATCTCTATGATGATGATGAATGTGATTATTATTGTTATTATTATTGTTGTTGTGATGCTTAGTATTCAACGACAGCGGCGGCCGCGCCGCGGTGGTGTTCGCAAAGGCTGAGCGCTGGGCGCTGAAGGGGCCGGGAAGCTGCGCTGCCCCACGGCCGGCGCTGCCGGCAGTGACCGGGGAATCTTTTCTCCTCTTTTTCTTTTTTTTTCCTTTTTTTTTTTTTTTTCCTCCTTTTCCCTCCGTTCGTTTTTTCCCTTTTTTCTTTTTTTCACTTTTCTTTTTTATTTTTCTTCCCCCTCCCCCGGTGTTTTACGTCGTATATTATCTCCAGGGTTTTTTTTCTCCTATTTCTCTTTTTCGTATTTTTCCTTTCTTTCTTTTTCCTTTCTTTTCGACTTTTTTTTTTCTCCTTTTTTTTCTTTTGTAATATACACTCCTTATTATTTCCCTCCGTTTCTTCACCCCGGGGCCGCGCTCCCGCAGCAGCCAGCCGCTCGTAAGTTGCAGCAGGGGCCGCTCCGGCTGTATGTTTGCCTGTGTGTGTCCGCCTCTCTGTGTCCTCCCGTGTCTGTCAGTGTGCCTCTCTCTGTGTCCGCCTGCGTGCCCGTCCGTCCGCGCGTGCCCGTCTGTCTGTGTACCACGGTGCACCACGGCGCACCACGGTTACAGGCGGCCTTTACACGGCCCGGCCCGGGAACTGCGGGGCACTCCGCGGAGGAGGGCCTTTCGCCTCTGCCCGCCCCGTGCCCTCTGTACCGTTCCGCGGCCCCGAGCCCGCGGGGCCTCCCCCCTCTCACCCCCCCCCCCGGGGATGCCGCCGGGCTCCCCGCGCAGCGGCGCTTCCCCTGCGGCCGTCGCCGGCCCCCGGCGGGGCCAATCAGCGGCCGTACGTCACGGCGGAACGCCGTCCTCGCGCCGCCGCGGCCAATCCACGCACAGGACGCGGCGGGCCCCGCTCCAAGGGGCGGGGCGCGGCGCGCTGACGCACGGCGGCCGCGTCATTGACGCAAGCGGCGTTGCTAAATTTAGCCGCTGGCCCCGCGCGCGGGAGGGGGC